CATGTTTGGTAGCGTGTTTGGTAGCATGTTTGGTAGCATGTATCATGTTTGGTGGCATGTTTGTTAGCATGTTTGGTAGAATGTTTGTTAGCATGTTTGTTGCATGTTTGTTAGCATGTGTGGTAGCATGTTTGGTAGCATGTTTGGTAGAATGTTTGGTAGTATGTGGCGTGTTTGGTAGCATGTTCGGTATTATGCTCGGTAGCATGTTTGGTAGAATGTCTGGTAGCCAGAAACTTAACTGCAGAGCTGTCTTTAGATTTTGTTTCAATCGTCTTAAATAGACAGCACATTTTAAATAATTGTCTTGCAAAATCCCCGCGTCTTCATGGAATTGAAATGTAAAGAAATGTTTATGAATGGAGTGGTTTCTGAAAGGCGGAAATTAGGTCAGCAAGATGGACGTGTTTGTCAACAAATCAATAGAAAATAGGTCAATAGACAGTTTAAAAGTTTAATTAACGCAGCTACGAATAAAAAAAGGATGAAGATAAATAATACATGCATTAAATGTGGATTTTTAATTGGCGCAGTTAGCCCCTAAGAGATTATTTAATTAAAAAACGGTTCCATTTATTTTGCTCGAGAGCCAAGTATGATCAAGAGAGCAATTATTTTTTTATGATTTGGGACATTTTGATTTATGCACAACGCTAGATTTTGGGATAATTTAATGAATATGTACGATTTATGCTGAACTTGTTTTGGTTTTTACAAGCTTTTATTTCCCTTAATTCAACGTGATTTTGTCATCATTAGTGTATATTTGTTTTTTACATTAAGATGTTTGTTACAAGAACAGTACAAATGATGAGATCCATGATGAAGTGTACCTGACTATAAATATCTCAGTTTTCTCCTGAACATGATAATAAACACATTTTTACAAGTTTGTGATTAAGTTAATATATATATATATATATATATATATATATATATATATATATATATATATATATATATATATATATATATACAAGAACTAAGCAGATTCAGTTATTTCTGTGGTGCCATACGATGATTCGTTTGAGTCTGTCTTTGCCTTTTGCATCCTTAGTGCATACTCTAGCTAGTGTGTAGGAATATTTAATGCATCCTTAACATAATGTAGTGGAAAATTCGATCTATAACTAGTTTATCGGTTGTAATAATTATGATTGATTTTGTTTTTAGTATTTTTCTTCTGTACTGATTTATTTTAATTCAACTTTAATAATCTTTAGAAACACAGAGCGATTTAAAGCAAATAGTCACCTTTAAAATTTCTGTTTACATTACGACCGATGAAATTAGCGATCGAAGTAAAATCAATGTTTCCCGCGTTTTTTTTAAAATATCCGGCTATCAAGTTACAGCCATTGAATGTTCTGATCCAGTGTAATCTGGGGCTCTAAAGTTATTGTTTTCAATAAATCGATTGATGATATATCGATCTTTTGAAGTAAAAGGCGTCTAAACGTGATGTATCAAAACACTGAACACGAAGATTGGAATAAAATCGTCCTTTTTGGTCGTTTGTGGTCATGTTTGGTGTTGTGTAGTAGTAGTTGGCATGATAGGGGAGGGTTGGCATTAAGTGTAGAGGTGGTTGGCTTTATGTGTGGTGGTGGTTGGCGTTATGTGTGGGGGTGGTTGGTATTATGTGTGGTGGTGGTTGGCATTATGTGTGGAGGTGGTTGGTATTATGTGTGGGATGGTTGGCATTATGTGTGGAGGTGGTTGGTAGTATGTGTGGAGGTGGTTGGTAGTATGTGTGGAGGTGGTTGGCATTATGTGTGGGGGTGGTTGGCTTTATGTGTGGTGGTGGTTGGCGTTATGTGTGGGGGTGGTTGGCATTATGTGTGGGGGTGGTTGGCGTTATGTGTGGGGGTGGTTGGTATTATGTGTGGTGTTGGTTGGCGTTAAACCTAGAAGTAGTTGGCGTTATGTCTGGAGTGGTTGACATTATGTGCGGTGAGGGTTGGCACTATGTTTGGCAGGGTTGGCATTATGTGAACACAGTTTACATTAGGTGTGGATGCAGTTGATAACGTGCCGTTGCCGTGGTAACAGCTAGCTGGACGCCATTGTGATCCGAATCTTAAAAAAACTCAGAAACAAATCCGTCATCTGATGGGTCGCGACCCCCACGCGGGTCATGACCGGAAGTTATTTCTCGTGACGTATTCAGGTTAACATATAACTATTCAGTGTGGTTGCACTCGCAGTTCATGAGCACCCCGCCATATTGATCTACGTGACGTCGGTGAAGCGCATGATTACTAGCCTCTAGGACTTCCGGATCCTGCTCGACGCGGATCTAGTGTCCTAAGCAAAATATCCAATCCAACATTTGTAGTTCAAATCAAAAGTTTCAAATGTGTAGCGTCGACATTGAATGTTTTCAATGATTACAGCTTTTAGTAAAACAACGTTTTTACAAGGTCTGTAGGTTTATGTAAAGGATCTAGTGTCCTAAGCAAAATATCCAATCCAACATTTGGAGTTCAAATCAAAAGTTTCTTTTGAGTAGCGAATATTTTTTTTCAGGTAACAGAAACATAATGTAAACAAAATCTTTTACAGGGTTTGAAGGCTTATGTAACAGGTGAAGTAGAGTTTATGAGTTTATGGTGCAGATGAAGGTGTATTGTGGGTAGGAAAAAGCCTCTAAGATGGACGCATCTCAGACTTAGTCGGATACAGTCGCTCTACTACACCAAGTGGATTCATATTTACCACACTGTTAGTGTTGAAAGGGAAAGTTCACTACGTTGGTGCTTGAGTGAGAATTCACTATGTAAGTGCTAAAGGAAAATTCAGCAAGTGCAAAAGGGACAACTCTCTATGTATGTGCTAAAGGGACAACTCTATGTATGTGCTAAAGGGACAACTCTCTATGTATGTGCTAAAGGGACAACTCTCTATGTATGTGCTAAAGGGACAACTCTCTATATATGTTGTTACGAACCCAAGTGATCTTTACCTGGGTTTGGTCCCATCGAGGAGGGCCAGGTAATTAAAATGAAATGCTTAGGCATGTTAATGCACTGGCCAGCATAGGCCGTGAGAGTCTGGGGGTCTTGACGGCCACACCACGGATTAGATTACACGCTGTGGGCGTGGCAGACTTCGGGACTCGGCTATTTACGTGGCCAACAGCTCGTGATTTACGGCTGGGAAAACCTTCCAGGTCGGATAGGGCCGAGTGGACCGTCATGGACGGATATGACCTAGGGTCAGGCCTTAATTAAAATCGTTCCCACGGTGTAGAACGGGGGACGAGTACTTTAGGAGGGTAGACCGGAGACTAGGAGATACACTCTCTGGGCACACACTCGGGACACACACTCGGAGACGGACGTACTCGTCTCGAATAGCTAGGTTTAGAGGAGACAGACCTGGGTCGTCTCTGTGAGCTAGTGGAAAGCCACGACATGTTTTAGACTTAGGCTAGGCCAGACGGTTAGGGACAAGTAGGGTAGTCGTGCTAAGAACTTTAGTTGTTGTAGTTACTAGTGTATATTTCTGATTGTTGTACTTCGGTGGCGGGTGTAACTTTAAGTGTTGTGATTTGTGGCGAATAAATAGAGATTACTGAAGTTGGCTTTTATTTATTTTTATTTTTCTTCTTCTTGTTTACGATCCCCTGACTAGTTCGAAAGGATTAGAGAAGGGGGTACGTAACAATGTGCTAAAGGGACAAGTCTCTATGTATGTGCTAAAGGGACAACTCTCTATATATGTGCTAAAGGGACAAGTCTCTATGTATGTGCTAAAGGGACAACTCTCTATGTATGTGCTAAAGGGACAACTCTCTATATATGTGCTAAAGGGACAACTCTCTATATATGTGCTAAAGGGACAAGTCTCTATGTATGTGCTAAAGGGACAACTCTCTATGTATGTGCTAAAGAAACAACTCTCTATGTATGTGCTAAAGGGACAACTCTCTATGTATGTGCTAAAGGGACAACTCTCTATACATGTGCTAAAGGGACAAGTCTCTATGTATGTGCTAAAGGGACAACTCTCTATGTATGTGCTAAAGGGACAACTCTCTATATATGTGCTAAAGGGACAACTCTCTATATATGTGCTAAAGGGACAAGTCTCTATGTATGTGCTAAAGGGACAACTCTCTATGTATGTGCTAAAGGGACAATTCTCTATATATGTGCTAAAGGGACAAGTCTCTATGTATGTGCTAAAGGGACAACTCTCTATGTATGTGCTAAAGGGACAACTCTCTATATATGTGCTAAAGGGACAAGTCTCTATGTATGTGCTAAAGGGACAAGTCTCTATGTATGAGCTAAAGGAACAACTCTATATGTGCTAAAGGGACAACTCTCTATATATGTGCTAAAGGGACAACTCTCTATATAGGTGCTAAAGGGACAACTCTCTGTGCTAAAGGGACAACTCTCTATGTATGAGCTAAAGGGACAACTCTCTATGTATGTGCTAAAGGGACAAGTCTCTATGTATGTGCTAAAGGGACAAGTCTCTATATATGTGCTAAAGGGACAACTCTCTATATATGAGCTAAAGGGACAACTCTCTATATATGTGCTAAAGGAACAACTCTATATGTGCTAAAGGGACAACTCTCTATATATGTGCTAAAGGGACAACTCTCTATATAGGTGCTAAAGGGACAACTCTCTATGTATGTGCTAAAGGGACAACTCTCTATGTATGTGCTAAAGGGACAAGTCTCTATATAGGTGCTAAAGGGGCAACTCTGTGAATGTGCTATAGGGACAACTCTCTATGTGGATGCTAAGGGGAAAATAGTCTATGTGGGTGCTAAAAGGAAATACTAATTGTATGTGCTAAAGGGACAGCTATGTAGTTGCTACAGGGAAAGTTTAGTAAATGCAAAAGCGACAACCCCCTCTGTAGGTGCTTAAGGGAAATCTGTCTATGTAGGTGCTAAGGGGACGACTCACTATGTAGGTGCTAAAGGAAAATACTATATGCCGGTGCTGGTTAGAAAAAAAGAAATAACGTCTTACCTTCGGCGTCGGTGGTCTCGGCGTAGGAGGAAACTGGCATTTCAAAATGCACCGCCCTGTTCACACTTCCGTTACCGAGGCTGCTGGGGCGGGGGTCACTGCCGGAAGCGGAAGTGATGACGTCATCCACGATAGCCTGCCTGCCGTCTGTCCATGGTCTGGTCTCCTTAATCACAATCTTTCGCGAGTTGTCCCCCACGGGGGTCGGACTGTCATCCACGGGGGTCAAACTGTGACCGGGGGTCGAGGTTTGACCGACGGGGGTCGTACTCCGGCCAACAGGGGTCAAAGTTCCTTCAATCGAGCGTGTGTTCCGGTCGATCGGGGTCACGTTTCTGTCAACGGGGGCCGGGATCCGCCTGATGGGGGTCGAGATCCGGTCAGCGGGGGTCGTACTCCGGCTAACCGTAGGGTCGACAGGGGTCGGGTTTTGACGGAAGGTCCTCGTCGCCTCTGCCGAGTTGCCGCGGATGTCGTCGTTGGCGCCGATGACGTCACGCGCTGAGGTGACATCCACGCGCGCGGTGACCTTCACCCCAGGGAGGTTGTGCACCACGCTATCAATTTTGTCGTCTGGGAAATTTCAATCAATTTTTGTGCGCACTTTTTTCGGAGATTTCTGCTACTTTCCTTTATAAATCCATGGAACTTGAGCAAAAGTTGATTATTTTAAAAGACACATTATTTATTTTTCACCACTCCGTTGTAATTTTTAAAGAGTTAAAAACAAAACGAAGTCGGCACATTTGATACTTACATCATCAATGAATGTTCAGATTGCTCAAAGACTAGAAAAAAATAGCTCAATGAACCAAGATAAGGCAAACGACCGCACTATAGATTTCGTCAATAACTCCCATCAAAGTTTTATAATCCCGTCAAAATAGCAGGTACCGCCAGTGTTATGAGATCAGTGCGGTGTAGTGGAGGTTTGGAGCCTATAGGGGAGTTAAGCGGGGCTGGGATCTCAGACACGATGGGGTAGTTTTCGTTGGGTTAGCGGTTGATGATGTTCTGTTGGTAATGTAATATTGATGATGTTCTGTTGGTGATGTCCTATTGATGATGTCCTATTGGTGATGTCCTATTAGTGATGTCTTGGTGATGATGTCCTTTTGATTATGTCTTGGTGATGTTGTTGTATTGATGATGTCCTATTGGTGATGTCCTATTGGTGATGTGTTGGTAACGTCCTGTTAATAATGTCCTATTGGTAATGTCCTATTGGTAACGTCCGATTGGTGATGTCTTGGTGATGTTGTCCTGTTGATTATGTCCTATTGGTGATGTCCTATTGATGATGTCCTATTTGTGATGTCCTATTAGTGATGTGTTGGTAACGTCCTGTTGTTGATGTTCCACTAATGATATTATGTTAACGGTTTTCTGCAGGTAATGTTTACTCTACGATTTTTATCGTTCCCTCCAGACTGCATTGATGTAAGTCCAAATGTCCGAATGCCTTGATGCCTTTATGCCCTGATGCCCCGCTGCCTGTACCTGGTGTAAACCTGCAAAAGTCAACAATAAAATATGAAAAGTTGATTTCCTTATTGCTGGGGATGGTTAACAGTAGCTTCACATGGGGGGGGGGGGGGGGGGTTGAGGCTTTGCGTCTTTGGGGGCTGAATGTAAAGCAGCCAGCGAGCTTCATATTCAAGAGAGATAGAGAGTGAACTTTTGGTAGTAGCTTCCATTCTTGGAGGGGTGAGGGTGGGTTGCGTTCGCTTCGGATTCGGACAGATGAAGTAGAGTTCATTTTTACTATGACCTTGGCAGATAAAAGCATAAGCTCATCAATTATATGCCCGGCAGACTTAACTTTCCCTAACGTATATCAAATACCGATCAGAGCTGGGGTGACACAGCGGCTCAAGCCATGGATTCGAACGAAACCTTTTTTGTTAGCAGTTGTGGACTCTGCCGTCCTACCAAGCCGTCCCTTTGTGTGTGTGTGTGTATGTGTGTGTGTATGTGTGTGTATGTGTTGGCGTTTGTGGAGCATTTTAAATATGTCTTTACACCCCTTTTTTGTTTGTTACATTTTCCGGTACATACATCTACCCCCCCCCCCCCCCCCTACCCTCCCTGAAGTTGACCCAATATTACCGGAAGTGCAAGCTGCCGGTGAAACAGGATTCAGCAGACGATGCTATTTACCCAGCAGACGACACTCACTTGTCCAGTCTAATCCATTTACCCCGCCCCCTCCCCCTCCCCCGTTCCCCTTTCATCCTGAAATTGACGACTAAACAAAATTTGAGTTTGTATATCAAATCGATTCAGACGCCGATTAAGTTTACTGTCGGGGGGAACTAGCCCGATGGTGATGGCGGAGGTTTAACAAGATGGATGGTGATGTTGGAGGTTTTACAAGATGGGTGGTGATGTTGGAGGTTTTAAATGATGGGTGGTGATGGCGGAGGTTTTAAATGATGGGTGGTGATGGCGGGGGTTTTACGAGATGGGTGGTGATGTTGGAGGTTTTAAATGATGAGTGGTGATGGCGGAGGTTTTACAAGATGGATGGTGATGGCGGAGGTTTTTACACGGTTTCACATTGCTTGAACGTGCTGAAGGGATTAGTTTGAGCGTCCATGCGTGTAAGTAAGGGTAGTGTGTGTGGGTAAGAGAAGGCGTGTGTGTGTGTGGGGGGGGGATGGTGTGTGTGTTTGATAGAATAAAGAAGCTGTGTGCGTGTGAATGAGTGTAACAGTAGAAAAGTAAGTGATAGTGTATAGATGATATTCAGTTATAAAATGTTTTTCAGTGTGCGTGTGTGTAGATGATACTCAGTGAGTGTGTTTAAGTGTGATTGTGTGTACGTATGTGTGTGTGTGTTTATGAAAACGTTCTTAAGCCGAATTGAATAGGCAGATGTTTAACTGATTGTGTAAGTTCTGATCGTAGACTGAAAATGCAGGGGTTTGAATTTAAATCAGATGATATAAATCTAAAAGCCGAATCGCCCTGAAAAACAAAACCCTCGAAAGATTTGATCTAATTACATAAAGGGTTAATGAGTAAAAATCAGTTCCCCTAACGAATTTATTTTAATTGCAACGAAGGGCGTTTACTACAAAAAATATATAATTGGCGGCTGAATAAAAAATAAAACTTTATAATGATCTACTCTTCTGAGAGCGATTTAGTTTCAGCGTCGAAGGTGCACCATAATAAAAAGAATCAAGAAATGAATTCCAACTTCAACGCTAACTCTTACCCTTATCGTGAACTAATCTAATCCAGATTAAAAGAAGTTTGTCTGCCTTTAGCTTAAAATCTTCACAACACTACTCATCATTGTTGAAGTTGTAGACCCGGTTATAAATAAACTGGTGTCCTTCACCTACCACCATACTCCCCCCTCACCCCACCCCCACCCCCTACACCACAGATGACGTCCCTGTTACCAAGTTATCATCTAAAACTGTCTGCGTAGGGAAAGATAGTTCTAGAAACAACACAATCAATTCTCTCGCCTGAAGAAAATATCTTCAAGAAACAAAAAACCAACTTACGTATATATAATTACATAATAACCGGCTAATTGGCTAATGGTTGATATGAGTAAGCGTTGTTGGAGTCCCAGTTTTCGTTACTTCAAAGTAACAACATTATCGATTACTGCGGGTGAGCTAAGTTCCAGAAAGGAGGAAAGTTATTTCGAGAAAGGTCAAGTACAAAATAAAATAGAAAAACCTTGGAAATTACACTATTTGCAGAAGAGACGAAAATAAGAAAATTATTTAAATCTTTATCTTTTCTGTAGACCCTAACATTTAGTGATAATTACTAATCGAACTTCTTCTAAGCGGAATTTAAACATAAATATTGAAACGATGTTGACGTGGATATATTGAGAGTTTTGCTATGTTCGATAATTGTTGCGATTTTTAAAAAGGCTTTAAAAATGTGTGCATCGATTTTGAATTATCTTAATGAGATCATCGTTAATTATTCACGTTTAACTTTAAGCATAATATAAAGGGATACTATATCTAAACCTGATTAAAAGCCAAAGGGCCTTAATTCGTACATGATCAGTTAATGCTTAACTAATACATCGATGAACGCAAAAGTTATCACTTAGGAATGTTGGAAGAAGGCTAAAATTCACTGAGGTCTTTACCACACAATCGTGTCGAAACTGTTGAGCGATACTCTAGCGTAAAATATACCCGGTTGTAAATAAGGTAAAAGTAAACTGAAATTATAAAAAGGGTAGTTAACCATTGTTGTAAAATGAAAGTAATCCGTAGGTACTTTTTTAAAAAGGGAAATAACTTTGGTTTTAAAAAAGGGGAGAGAACTGATGTTGTGAAGATGGGAGTGTACAGCGGTGTAAAAAGGGAAGTAAATCATTGTTGTTAAAGGGAAGGGCAATGGAGTAAAGATGGACGGGATCTGTTGTAAAAGGAGGGAAAGGAGGGGAGAAGTGTAGTCTTAAAAGGAAAAGGGGGAGAGGGGGGGGGGAGAGCCGCATTGTAAAAGGGGAGAGAACCATTTTCTGCCTTTCTATGGAAATAGGACCATGTAGGGGAGATAAGAGCCGGCAGATGGGAGCCTAATGATGATAATCATTCATTGATCAGCCGTTGATTGGAGAGGACGATTTTTTTTTCCTTCAGGTAAACTGTTTTTAATAGGTCGTCCAGTGGCTATCGCTGTGATTAACTCACCGCATGTGGTATAATGGAGAGGGACGTGATTGGGTGTGGGGGTGTGGAGGGGGGTGATAGGGTGTGAGGGTGTGGGGGGAGGGGGGGGGGTAAATCTGAGGGTGGGTGGGGGAGGCGTAGGTGTTCATGAGAATTGCGAAACAGGAATTCGGGGAAAAGATATGACCAAATATGACCACTTAAATGTTCGGATTTGTTAGCGAATAAAAAAGGGTGAATTTAGGCGTAGGAGTGTGAAGCAGAGGGGTGGGGTGGGGTGAGGAGGGGGGGGGGGAGAGGAGTTTTTTAACAATGAAGTTAAAACGTGTATGTAGGCATATAACCGTTAAATTATGATACTATTCATAATTATGTTATAACAATCATAGTAATGTTAATGATAATTGATAAATATTTATGATGAGTTTTTGAATTATGTTAGTTATGATAGTGTTGATAATTGTGTTAATTATGCTTATTAAAAATTATGATAATGTTGATCATTACGTTATTGAGTGCCAAACTCAGTGTCAGTGTGTCGATTATATTTCTTTAAGGAGCATCCAAACATCCATACGTACATACATATATACAACACAACATTAAGCCCTAAGCCCTTATATTAAGTGGTGGCCTACGTCTTAAGAAAAAAGTCTAAAGATGGTTTTTGTGTTTGGTTATTTAGGAGACGTTATACGCGAGAGCCAAGGAGTAACGACTGAAATATCACCAGACTTCCATAGGGTGGGGGAAAGGGGGGGGGGGGGTAAGATTTCTAAGACCCGGGGTGAGAAGGCTAACTATGTCAGTTTGTAGCATTGACCAGACGATGGAACTTTCTCGTTCAACTACGTCAGCAGCAGACATGAGATGGGCTCTGTGACGGCAGCTTGAGGGAGAGGGAGGAAGGAGGGGAGGGGGGGGGAGAGGGAGAGAGAGTTAGATGGAGAGAAAGGAGAAAGAGAAGGATGGTTATAGAGAAGGGGGGGGACATAGAGTGTTAGATGGAGAGAGAGGAGGAGGGGGGCATATATTGAGGATGAGGGAGAGAGTGAAAGGGGAGGAGGAAAACATGTGGAGAGAGGAGGAGTGTTAGAGGAAGGGAGAGACGGAGGAGAGGATGGAGGGGGTGTTAGAGCGAGAGAGGATGACATATAAGGATGAGAAGGAGGGAGTTATGTGGAGAGTGTTAGATGAAGAGGGAGATACGGAGGAGTGAGAAAAGTGGACTTGAGAGGAGGAGAATGTCAGAGAGAAGGATAGGGATAAGGAGGATGAGAGAAGAGGAGACGGGAGAGAGTGTTAGATAGAGGGAGGTAAAGGAATTAGGGGATAGAGGAATGGTGAGAGAGAAAGAGGGTTGATAGGATAGATGATCAAAGGAGAGAAAAATGAAAGGGGGAGGTGTGAGTGAAGGAGAGGGAAGGAGGAGTAGATAGAGAAAAAGATGAGAGAGAGAGAGAGAAAGAGAGAGAAAGAGAGAGAAAGAGAGGGAGAGAGAGAGAAAGAGAAAGAGAGAACCTACTGATGGGCTAGTTTGTCTGTTAATGCACTCGGACCGCACAGTAAAGTAATGACATTGTCAGGTCAGGTTGTGGTATTGTGGTGAGATCAGGGGCAGAGAAATCTGGCAAGGGGTCACCGGATGTGTGAGTTAACTCTAGGCTCATGCCAACAGACGACATCTGATGAGCTGTGGTCGGTTGTAAAATTCCCGCCATCTACACCGGATGTGTTCCACTCTCACGGGGATTCAATAAATAAAAGCTTTTTACACTGCTACAGTGTCTGATTTACATTTCGTTAAAATTTGTTTACTTATCTCCCCTTATTGCTCGTGCTCCTTAGCA